GAAAAGAGTGAAAAAGGCGCCATCCCGCAGTGTTTTTAAAAGTCCGAAGAACCCAAAGAGATGTTACTTTGAATGAAGAATATAAAAACAGAGAAACCAGAAAGCGATCACTGTTATATTTGAGGGAGGCCCTGAAAAACGATTACTTGTTCTGCCAACTTGTGTTGCAGTAAAAAAGTAACGTAGCGGTTATAAAAAGACAGTTTATTTTTTTTTGTAACAGAAAACAGCTGGACACATTTACTGATTTTTCGTTGAAATAAAAAATGCAGCATTCTCGTCCCGGGCTGAGCCTGAATGCCAGTGTTCCTGTGGGTATCAGAAAATGATCTTGCCTGCGCCACAGATTTCTGACGCCTTACAGAACTACATAAGCAAACCACTTTTTTCCCCCTATAGCCAGACGCCGTGTTAAACTGCCAGGCCTGTTTTAATAGACCGTGGTATATTGATAGGTAATGGTGATGACAGAGTGAATTGGATAAACGTTCCGCCAGCAACTGAAGAGAGAGAAGCCCCTCTGTAGGGTGTGTGTGTGTTTGTTTTTTGGTGTATTTGAGTGGTGGTCCCATGGAGGGACGAGGCTGTGTAGCGGTCCACGGGCGTGGCCGTCTGCAGGTGGGCTTGTGTGTGCCTCTGCCTCCCGAAATTCAGCAGCCTGGGGTGAACTGAATTCAAGGCTGCTGATGGAGAAGCAGATATTGAAAAACCTAAATATGGATGTAGACACATTTTAAGAAGGTGCGAGGTGTAGGGAGGGAAATATGAGTTTCTGGGAGAGATTCGGATGTGCCGACATGGTGGACGGGGATGGAGGGTCACCAAGTGTAGGAAAACGGAGTGATAAAATATGTTGATGTACAGATGACGAGTATTTTACAGCTATTGATCTGTGTGGCGAACATGAGTTTAATCGCGAGTTGTCAGAGCGACGACCTGCACCACAGTAACCTGCCAAAATGTCTTATTCGTGTGACTATAGGTAATCCGTTGCCTCCAGATGCACTATAAACGTGGACCTCGATCAGGCGAAGTACGTGTACTGTGTATCAATGTACGAGCTCAGACTCAGTAAAGTAGGTACAATTAATTCAATCTCTTAAAGTAGAAAAGCGCCAGCAGACGGGATTATTCTGGTGGATGTTCCCAAAAACAATGTCCGGAGTTAGATGATAAAATACCAGGGTGTTTCCAGTATTGCAGGTAGCGTCAATTAGACTTCTGGTAGTGTGCCTTATTTTACATTTCTAGTGTTCAACAGTTGACTCTTGCATAAGGAAGGCTCTTCTGAAATAAACAAAATACTAATTAAGGTACAGCTTTACAGCATAGTGTGGATTCTGACATTGAACGCGGCTGTGCTCGAGTTCACGATAGTCACAGTTAAGTTTTATAGTCAGTCATTTCTATTAAAAAGCAGTGCTTAATTTAAAGGGAACCTAAGTGCAAAATGCACTTTTTGATTTATTTTATACATAAATACAGTATGTGGGTACGGAGGATACCTAGGGTACGTGTGGGTACGGTGTGTCGGGGAACTCACGCAGCGTCAGAAAATAAAACCCTCTCTCTTTTCCTCCGTACCCAAATCTCTAAAAACGGGGCTACAACGGAGCTGATCCAGATTTGCGTCCGATATGACGTAATATCTGAAATGTGGACCCACGGCCCTATCAGAAACGTTGCTATCAGAAACAATGCCCGACTGTTTTGGACGTAATATGATCGGTGTTTACATTAGCATCGCTAACACTCAGAGCTAACCTGTACTGGAGAGCATGTGTGTGAAGAAACAGGAAATAAAAAGGAACTCACCTTGTGATATAACCGGCAAGAGAGAAAGCCTTTGAGCTCCATACTGTTTCAGAGATAATCCTTGATAATCCATGATATGGCGTTTCATCACGGCAGCATTTAGTTTAGACAGTAGCTGCCGGGTCCCGCATGAGCTCAGCCCCCTCCTTTTTTATTTGTATCAACATTTTTTATTTTTCAAAGCTCTATACCCCAAAATCATCACTTTTGAAACAGGAAGTGAAATGGAGGGATATGAGGCATGGCTAGAATGGGTGATCTGTTTGGTATTTTGAGCAAAACACTTCATAGACGTGTTTTTTATATATTTGTATATATCTGAGACCTATGCTATTGCCTAGAAATAGCATGATAGGTGACCTTTAAAAGATGTAACAGGGGGAATGGGGCCACATCCTCACATTTGAGAAGCTAGCTAAATGTTGTTGAATCTTTGCGGAAAAGATGACATATTAATGATAAAACCATTGTCAGAAATTGCTGATAAATTACATTTTGCAGCTCTTTCATATTTACCAATCACGGTCAATGTACTTTTCTTCTAACACTGGTCAAAAACCCAAATATTTTCAGTTTACTTTCCTTTAAAAAAAAAGAAGAGAAATGCAGCTAATTCTCACATTTGAGAAGGATAAAAGTGTAACACACGAATAAATAAAACTCCTGCTACATTTGAGTAAAACATATAATTTTATTAGCACCTTTGAGTTATAGTAAACAGTCCTTTTCAACTAATACATGAATATCCATCTTCTTAATGTTTATACTGGTAATGTCCTCTTACGTACCTTAATTAGGATTGAAGGATAGCTCTTGGAATATTTTATATATTGTTCCCATCCCAGACAAGATAAGTAGGCCTATCCTTCAAGCTATTATTTTTTAGCATACTACCAAACAATTTCAGATTAATATCCCAAACATGTTTGTTTCAACACTTCATTGAAGCTACATCATGCTACATTCATTTCAACATTCTGGGAAACATTGTGCAAATACTTCTGTTAAAATTCCCCTTCCTTTTTGATTTTTTTGATTATTTCGAAACGTCTATACAGTTGTTGAAACATTTTCTCGGCTGCAATTGATCGATGACATTGCAAAAATATACCCACAAAGGGATGCATTAGAATAAAAGAAACCAACAGCATTTGCACCTTATCCAAAAACATAGATATTTACAGTATAGTTTGATGAACAATATTTAGTATCCTAATACAAAATTCCGTATGGCGATTTTTGGCACCGTGAACTGTGGATATCTGTTGACACAGTTGAAAGAAAAACCACATGAGTTGGCCTTCATTTATAATGCTGACAGGGCAAAAGAGAGGTGTGACATTTTTCGTCATTGGTTTAAAATGTTCTACCCGAAGAAGCACAATAAATACAAAAAAAGCAGCCTACAAAAGAAAAGTCTTATTTGAAATAATAAAAAATACAGCTATTCATTCAGACAGGGAGCTTCACTTACAAAACATGACCTTCCTGTTATGTAAGAACGGATAAATCATGCATGGAGAACTGTTAAATTAGAGAACTAAGGAGAAAAAAAGCTCCATATGAGTTTATCCTCCTGTCTTGTCCCTGGAGTTTCCTGCTGATTTCGGCTGGAACTCGACGGTAGGGGCGCTGTTGGGTGCCGTTTCCTGGATTCATTGATGTACATGGTGTTGTTGTCGCCAACCTGAAGTCCGGTGACATTGCTGCAGTGCACATGGACTCCAGGTGCAGGACGGAAACTGGAAGATTCCGGGGTCGAAGATTGACGCTGCAGATACAACAATTAAAAGAGCGAAAAACATCAGCAGTTGAAGTTTAAAGAGGATTCTGCTCATGTTCAGGTTCATATTTGTATTTAGTGTCTCTACTGTGACATGTCGTCTTTTATGAGTCTTTCCTAGAAGGCAACAAAAATGATGACGAGTGGCTTTTCTGCTGCAGTTTGCAACTACTGTAAATGCTTTGAAATAGGAAAAGTGAGAATGGAGTGTGGGACTGAAGGTGTCTTTGGGGAAGCACTTAATGGATGTCCTGTTCTGCTCATTTTCAGGTTAATTTTTATATTTAGTTCTTCTAATGTGACATGTCTCCATGCTTTAATGTTCAAAAAGCTCTTTATTTTTCTCATACTGCCTGTGCTGCAGCACCTCTTTTCTCCCTCTTTCTGAAACCAGAGCCCAGTCTGCTCTGATTGGTTAGCTGGCCGGCTCTATTGTGATTGGTCAACCGCTTAGAGATGTCCCGCCCCTTAGACTATAGCGTACAATGTGTTGGAGCGCTAGCCAATAGAAGCGCGAGTGTTACATAGTGATGTCCCTTTAGAGCAGTGATTCTCAAATGGGGGTACGCGGACCCCTAGGGGTACGTTGGGGTACTGCAGTGAGCAAAAAAAAAAAAAAAAAGATTAATTAAAAAAATACCATGCATGATTACAAAATAATCTTAGTACAATAAGTTAAATAGAAAACAAAATTGTATACAACATATTCCTAGAACCACCTCTTATAAACATGGCAAATGTGTGTATTATTTTGTTCATTGGTTTGTTAAACTTCAATTGAAAAACTCCTTGGAAAAATCTGTTTGAATTTTTTTTCGTTATGTTCTTTTTTTCATGCATAAAGATGAAAATATCCTTAGTTTGTTGTTATTCAAGCATGAAGGAGTTACTAAATCACACTCTGATGGAACATCACTATATTGGAATTATTTATATAGGCTTTTTCTATCACAAATGTTCGGGGTCGGTCAGGGGGTACTTGGCTTTCAATTAACATGGATATTCTACAGAAACTCTGAGACGCAAGTAAAAAAGAAACGTTAATTCTGGGAAAGCAAAATGGTTTTATCTCCTGTGTTAATGAGTCAAGAACTGGTAAAGAAAATGAAAAGCAACAAAAACCCACCAGGTAATTTGGAGACAGGTTCGGCCTGAAATCTGTCTGGGAAGGTTTTTCTTTTCTTTTTGGAGACGACGTCCCAGTTGAACGAGACGGCGGTGAGGTTTGAATGGGGCTCACAGAAGACGCTTTCACTTTGTCTTTAGTCGACGGGCGGCCCACTTCATCAAAACACGCGCTTGAAGGTCGAGGTTTATCTGAAAGGGAAGATATTTTACTACAAACATCAACCCATGATTTGTCTGTAAGTTGTTTTTGCAGCTTTTACGCAAACTTCCTTTTTACCTTGGACTCTTGATTTGTCTCCCTGATCCCAACGACCAGCCACTTCCTGTAACAAGTGAGTTAAAATTCCACTGTAAACACACCATTAAAACCACCTTTAATTACCAGTTTGCACACACTTTTGCATAAAGCCAATAACTGTACAATAATTCTTTTTTTCTCACTACATAAATGCAAGTCAAGTTAATCATATACTTGATAAATATGTTGCCAGAAGGATTATGACGTTTAGTTTCCTATTATCTTCATATTAGAACTCTATGCCCTTCATTGGGGGTTTTACATTCGCTATGTTCAACACTGCAAAACTTCCCTGCGTCAGCAGGAAGTGATACATGTAACATTTTCCAATGACAGCAAAAAAACCTACATGTGTAGAAACAGCACAGCATTGGCCAATTTGGGACAACTATGTCTCACAGACCACATTGGGATTTGTTAAAGACTATCAATGACATAAACACAGTGCAAGAAAGAGACTGAATGATGACATTAAAAGTGTTGTGTGTTCTCCGTTAAAGATACCCACGTAGTATTTTGAAACTAGACCTTTCTGTAAAGCTATATCCAACATTTCTGGGGTGTTAAATACAATTTCTGAGTGTTCTCTTGAGAAAAGGAATACTAGTTGTGTTGTCATTGTCTATATTGTCGCTGTATTGTATAATTAATTGTATAATTATTTGTTGTTTTACTTTGATGTGGGTTTATTTATTTTTTGTTTGTTTTACTTTGATGGAATTTATCTTTGTTAGAGTAGTTTAAAATCGTCTGAATCTCACCTGAACTGGCGAGCGACCTGTCGGCACACTGTTCACTTCTTGAAAAACTTCCCTCACTGTAAAAAAAGAGGCCAAATACAATGATGTATAATTATTTGTTTGTTTTACTTTGATGTGGGTTTATTTATTTTTTTCCGCTTTATGTTTTTTTTCATGGCTCTGTTGTTTAAGTTATATTGTTAAGCTTTTTTTTTCTTTTTTTTTGGTTTCGCCCGTGTGGGTGGAGGGAGGCAGGGAGGGAGGGGGGAGTGTAGTGTGTGTACTGTGATATTACAATATAAATGAAATGGCATCGATACTGTACACTATAATGAAATAAAAAGACAAGGAATTTATCTTAATTAGAGTAGTTTAAAATCGTCTGAGTCTCACCTGAACTGGCGAGCGACCTGTCGGCACACTGTTCACTTCTTGAAAAGATTCCCTCACTGTAAAAAAAGAGGCCAAATACAATGATGTAAAATGTGAATACTGGTACTTTAAAATGTTCTAATGTCTCTTTTGAAGTTGAAGAAACCATATTTGTAAGTGGTGGGTGAAAAAAAAGTGAAAGCAGACCTGAAGTCTTGCTTATGTGAAGACGGTCGATCTGCTCACTCAATCTTTCTCGTTCCCTTTGGTCCTGGAAAGAGGAAGAGAAAGACGATGGTTACAAAATATTGCTGCATCATGTCAGCATGAGTCCTAAGAAGAGATTCGTCCCTCACCTGCTTTTCCAACACTTTATGGACAGCGTCATTTATTCCACTTTTGTGCATCTTATACAGGTCTTCGGACTCAGTTGTACACTCTGCAAACAACATAGAGAAAAGATGTGTAAGATTTGTAACCATTTGAAAATTAAAACCGCATTTAACCTTCATTTTTTAAGACTCAACCTGCCGTGCACGTATATTTAAATATACCCAGCATCCAATGGAATTACTTCAAACTTTTCCAAAAACATTTACATATGTGGAAAAGTATAATGCTAATGTGAAGTTACTTTTTCATTTTCAAGTTTACATTTCTTTTGTCCCCAATGGGCTTCCATAGTTTTATTTTTTTTTACCACATTTGTCTTTATTTCAGTGCAAAGCTTCAACTTGTAACAGAGGAGTTTTACAGTGCTACTTTAAGTAAAAAAAGTCAAAGTTTATTATCAATTTCTGAAAACCACACAGAGAAAAGTCGAGGCTGTTAAAGGCAACATTTCCTGTGACATTTCAACTTTCTGCTTTAAAGGTCACCTAGTATGCAAAATCCTATCCTAATCCTCATTTATACATAAACATGTGTCCCCTCTGTGATTAATTTCTTTAAAAACCTGTCTGAAAATGAGCTGATCAGATTTTGGCCACTTTGTGATGTCATAACGATGTTTTGTCTTGTGTAACCATTAGCCAATCCCCAACAAGGTAACCCCCCCC